TCCGGATCAGCGGCGACAGAATCATAAGAACAAGAAGCTGCCAGCTCTGACCTGGCAGCAGGCGGGCTGGACGCAACCGCCGAGTCGCCGACACCATCTTCCGGGGGCTCCGCCGCCTCTTCGTCACTGTCGGAATAGTCAACGAGCCGGACCTTTTTCTTTGGTACAATGTCAGAAAAAGAGTAAGAATCGCTCAGGAAAAAGTCGGATTGAATCGAATCCAGGGAAAAGTCGGCGAGAGTACAGGGACTCGGGAGAAAGGCGTCCAGTTGAATCGAATCCAGGGAGGTTCTGCCCTCAGCCTCGGTGTGGGACTCCACTTCTGGATCGGAAGAAGCGAGTGTCGGGGGTTGGGACATCGTGAAACGACTTACGATTAAAGCAAAAATATTTAACTCTTTTTTTACTATATTTAAGTGACAAACGATTAAACAGAGACGTGATATTTAAACAAACACGACAAAGCGGTAACAGCAAACCGGTCGTGAAACGACTTAGCTTTTTTTTTAACTTCGCAGTGCGGGAGCGTAGCGTCCTCGGCAGCAGCCAAACCACGAAAGGGACGCCCATCGGCATGCCAGCCCTTTTATACCTGATCTGGCACATGCGCAGAGCAGTCCTTTTTTGCGCATGCGCATTCATACTAGAGTTGCAAAGTTTTCCCCAAAGGCTGCTACCGGCCCCACAAAAAGCCGGGACGCATCCAGTTTTTGGCACAACACTATTGGTGTGCGAACCTCAGGTGAGCTTTCTGCAGCACCATCATCCTCTTCATCGGGCTGCTGGTCTTCCGCAGCACCATCATCCTCTTCATCGGGCTGCTTGTCTTCCGCAGCACCATCATGTTCTTCATCGGGCTGCTGGTCTTCCGCAGCACCATCATCCTCTTCATCGGGCTGCTGGTCTTCCGTAGCACCATCATCCTCTTCTTCGGGCTGCTGGTCTTCTGCAGCAGCATCATCCTCTTCATCGGGCTGCTGGTCTTCCTCTTCTTCACTATCGGAATCAGAGATTCCATATAGCTTGTTCGCCGACTTCAGGAGTGCCTTGCTCGCGCGGGTGGCCCGATCCGCCTTACTTCTGGCATCATAGTACCGGGTTGCTGTCGCCGTCGAGTGGCAGCGGAGGGATGCCAGCTCCCGCAGGTTTGTCCCTTCCAGCTTTTTTTCCTCGTCCAGTGTGTGGGACAGCTGAACGTGGTGCCTGCGGGAGTGGTTTCCTCGCATCAGTTTTGGGCACGGGATACCCTCGAGTGCTTCGATGGGGAGGTCAAGCATCTTCGCGTCCCACACGTTCAAGTAGGGCAGAAGCTCTGTCTTGGCAGCGCTCTTCATTATCAGCGCTGGGCGGAGCTCTTGAACATACCAATGCATGATTGGTAGCAGTTTCTTTGGCACAGGTATTTGTACCGTTTTGTGCTTTTTCCTCGTCTTACCTCCCACATGGCTCATTGCGAATCCATGGGGAGTCTGGACCGCTTTGGTCAGCTCATCCGTAGTCATGTTTTGATATACACCTGTTCGAAGCCCTTGGACCACACTGAGCGCCACGTAGATCGCCTGGCGTACCCACACGGCCTTCTTCCGCAGGGCCTTGGCGTCGCTGGGAAGCGGAGCTCCCTTCGTCGTCTCCAGCTCTTGGATGACGGTTCGCTGGATCTTCACTCTTGTTGGGTGTTCGATCCTGTCCTCTGTCATATACTTTGCCTCACGTCGTCCCTAGGCCTTTGTGACGAGTTCTGCGTGCTCCTTCATGACCGTGTTCACCAGATCACGTAGCATGGCCACAAGCGGCTTCCAATCAGACCCTCCATCGACTTCAGCGAGGTGGCCGCTGATGAAGTCGAGGTAGCGGCGAACCGCATGACCGCAGACAAAGCCAGTCTCCCCTGACTTGTTATAAAACTGGCTGAGAGTCTCCCTGACCCGCCGCCTGTGCTCGGAAACCGCGATAATTTGGCGCCAATCCACTACAGACAAGTTGAGACGTCTCTCAAACATTTTCAGGTGCTTCATACTGTTTTGTGATCTTTGATGTCATCAATTGGTGTCATTATTTTTCGTCAACTAAAACTTATTTGAACTTTCCATTCAATCGACTCAATCATACGAGTCACTCTAATTTTCGGGAATCAAATCAGTCAACCAGTCGCTAAAGTCAAACCAGTCAGTCAACCAGTCATCTCGAAAAGTCAATCGACTCAATCCAATCAACTCAAAATACGCGGTGAATCAAATCAATCAATTCAATCGACTTGATTGGTATACAACCCTGCTTCACATATAACCTATCTACCTTCGTTGGTACTGTTGGTAGCCAGTGACACATCTAGACACATCTAGGCAGGTAAGTAGGTACCTACCTGCTTTCCTGCTGTCTTCATAAAGCATACCTAATGAAGTTGTCAAATTTGTAGCACATTTTCAACACTTTCATATGGTGTCAGTGTGGCATGAAACCTAGCTAGGTTCATTATGTTCAGGGTTCAATTCAGAAGAGCTCCGCATAACTCGCATAAGAGACAGACGGGGGCTTTACATGGGGTAGATGGCCTGATAACTTAGCTGGAATATGGCCAAAATTAAATTGACAACTTTTAGGTGAAAGGTGGTGTTTTGGGTTAAGGGGCGTTTGTTGAAGTCAACTACTGGGTTATTTTGCACCCATTAAATAAAACTTCTGCTCCAATTCTACCCATTGAACCTCAATATCATGATCCACCTGTCCATCACTAGATATCCTTCCTTATTACATAGAAACTTTGAATGGCATGGCAATTTATAATTTTAAATGACAATATTTTTATGTTTCTTCTGTAGGTAGGTAGGTAGGTAGGTAGGTAGGTAGGTACACCAGACTGCTATGGACACTTTTCCAAGTTGGTGGGGCAAAAAACCTAATGTATATCTTGGTTTGAGTCGTTTGATTGAGTTGATTGATTCCTTTCATTGTCGCGTTTGAGTCGATTGAATCAATTCCCGAAAACTGCTCTGACTTGATTGATTTGATTGGTTTCCCAAATTTGTCGTGATTGAATTGATTGCTATTGATTGAGTCGTATACAACCCTGCGCCCAAGGCACAAAGTTACCTTTTTAAGCACGGACGTCGGGACAGCCGGCGGCTCGAAGCCTGCCGCCGTCAGCTCTGCAGCCCCGTCCGCTGGCTCCTGCATCATCGCGTCGGCCGGGCACAGTGCTCCAAGCCACTCGCCCACGACCCCGCCATTCATGCATATGTTGTGCAGCAAAAAACAAACGTCAATGTCCGCCATGCTAAAGGACATAGAGTTCAAACGCAGGCCATGTTGAAGAGCACCAAAACGCATTTTTAGTACACCGAAAGCGTTTTCCACCACCACACGAGTGCGCGCGTGAGCGGTATTATATGCGCGCTCCTCGGCAGTGGTGGGGTCCGCGGTGGGCGTCATGAGCCAGGGTGCAAGGCCGTAGTCACTGTCACCCAGCATCATGCCGCCCATTACGGGATTTCCATTGCGGAAATACTCAGGCATCCCCGATGTAGTGAGCACCCGAGCGTCGTGCACCCGACCGCCACAATGTACGCTCAAAGTGATGATTGAACGGTCGGATGCAGCGACGGCCATTACGTTCAGGGACGGGAAGCCTTTACGGTTTATTTAGGTATGCTTATCGCTGCTCCCTGGGGACGGTTAGGCTGATGTGGGTCCCGTCAGTACATCCCACGATGTCGGGCGGAGAGTGTTTAACACATTCACTCAACTGCATTATATTCTTTAGGTTTAACCTTTCGCATTCTTAGGATTGACTGTTTGCAAAAAAAAAAAAACGTTGATAGTGACACAAATCCACAACCGATTGTTATTTGTGGCGAAAATAAATAGCAGAACTCACTATAATGCAGGCAACAGGTTGAATTACACACAATAACTGTATAATCGTCCAGGAAACTTACTCCGAGCGAACGTCCGCATCAGCGCCTCCTGGTATTCGTTGGGCACGCGCTTGTTCATCGCGGAGTCCGTGAATGTGTCTTCCAAAACTTCATCAGCAAACGTCTCGAAACGGAACGTTTGCCTTGACGAGCTGGGGTGAAGACCCAAGAAGTGCAATGTGATGACCACTTCCTTGTAGGATGTGCACCTTAAACAAAAGATTCAGGCGTTCGTTACCCACGCATACATTTTCCCCTCTATCATCCACCCCTACGGCCTATTTTTTTCCTAGAATCCGCTGTTCTAAATCCAATTACATACCTTCCTCTTGATAGCCTCGAACACTTTGTCCTGATTGTCATCGCGGAGCTTCTTGCCTTTCCTCCGCTGCTCTTGTTGACGTGCTACACGAAGAGCTTGCCGTTGTGCCTCCAAATCATGCCCACATGAGCATATCCTATCTCTTCCGCGAACTCGTTGTCCACAGGATGCACACTCTTTCCCGGCTGAAACGAGAATGAACGGGTCAGGGATGGGGACTTTCTGTGAACCTCAGATCCTTAACCCTCGCCCAGGACAGCATGCGTTGCCAGTTGCCGCGGCTTTTTGGGCTCTGTTTAACATAGTGTGTGCCACTTTCTGAATGGTTTCCTCTGTTCTCACGCTGCAGTTTCTACCGGTTTGTCTCCTGGTTGAACTACCTTCCTTCTTGAACTTTTCCACCCACCTTCTAACACAGCTTTTGGTAGGCGCTAGTCGCCGAGCCTTGTAGGATTTTTTTTTTTTACAATGTAGGCCTCTGCAGCAAAAGCCATCTGTACGTCCGTCCGCATCCTAAGACAGTTATTTTATGATTTTCTGTCATGCCATGATGTCTTATCAGCACTTGAAATTTTAGCAATATAGCTTGTGCGATAAAAAATCACGAGCATAACACATGAGTACCATTTTAAAACGGACACCCGGTATCTACATTCACGGTACATACATACATATCCATATCCATATCCATACATCCATATGCGTTGATGGCGTGTCTGGGGCAGATTTGGAGTAAGTGCAGTAATTTTCTGATATTTTCTCAGGGAAATATTATTTTCGTCAAGCATCCGAGCGACGACTTTTTGAGAAGCCTTCCAGGCAGCCGTAGCGCAGGACGTGGCGCTGGGGTCGAGACCATAGTGTGAAGCTGTTTGCATCAGCTCCTCTCTTCTTTCGTCGTTTGTGGCGTTCGGAATATTCTTCAGGGCACCTCCTCTTACGAGCGCGTGGAGTTTCTGACCTATTTGGCGATGGCCGACTGTTCTGTTGATTCTCAATTGGCTTCAGAATTGGTCGGCCACGCTCGGCGATAAAGACAACTAGGTGTTGATGTTGACGACCTAGCGGACGGGGCAGCGTTGGCGTGGTCGGATTCATTGGCTCCCTTGGACGCTCTGGCTGGCGGCTCAGGGCGCCCCGTCGTAACCGGGAGCTGATGGCGTCCCGTCGCAGCCGGTGCGATACTTATGTGCGATACTGTGTTGCTCTTGTTATGTCGCCTGATTGCTTGTTTACTTATAATATGTACTGCTGTGTGTAACTTCACTGATGATGTCTTTGTTCAGAGACGAAACGTTTGATTTTACATGAAGAATATAACGATATGCCTTGTAATAAGGTTTTTACTGCTCCTGAAGCCAACAAAAGAAGCTATCAAATTGTAATAACAGCAATCTTAGCCACTGCAAAATGCATTCTGTGGTAGAAGTTTCATTGCTAAGAGTAGGGGTAACACATGGACCTCAACATTTCACAGGTTTGGTTATAATTACAATTGTCAAGAATCTACTGTGGTCTGGAAGAGGAAGAATACTCATTCAAGTTGCAAAAGTACAATCAATTAGTAATTCAATTAGGTAGGTAATAGGTATAATACAATGAAATAAATAAATGTTCATGACAACATTCCATAGGGGAAAGGGCAGATTCAAAACACCACAAAACACATAGTTTGGAAACTGGCCTTGAGTGTCCTGAGGTGTGGTCTGAGATACTCTACAAAGAATTTGACACTGAACATCCAGCTGAAAAGGCAGGTGTTAGGTAGCCCTGAGCCTGACTTTGGTCCCAAAATGAAATGAAAATGAATTTAATTGGCATTTTGTCTTCTGTCTTTCTTTCTGGCGTCTGAGCTCTGCAGGCCGACGAGAAGACAAGACTGCTCCAACCGTGAGTAGATGGCGCTGGTGGTACGCTTCATCGACAGCCGTCAGGGAGAGCTGGTCGTTAGGGAGGATCCTATCGGATTGGTGGATGTCTTTTAGACACTTCGCCGCCTCACTGAAGGCGCTGAACTGCGAATGTCTGGCGTCAACCAGGCCCGCATCATCACCGCAGTGCTGAACGACCTGAGGCTGGACAGTGGACATGGCGGCCATGGTAGCGCAACTCTCTGGCCTTCATGACATGAAGGTCCAAACCGACCTCCTTGCCAAGGCTAACCTATGCCTCGCTGAGGCAGAGAAATACGCCAAAAGCAAGGAAATGGCCGGAAGAAGTCAAGAGGCCATGCATCAGGAGGACCTCGGAAGAATCAGGTATTAACCATGTAAAATAGATAGTGGAACCATGTAAAATGGATAGCCTCCGGGTCTTCGCACAGCAGGTCTTGCACATACCTGCGGTAAATCTGCGCAAACTTCGGTACTTCGCCGTCGCGAGCACGAAGCGGTCCCAGTCGGTGATACAGGCGGCCCTGTATCACAACAGATGGCGTGTAACCGCCGTGACCGGGAGGTGGCCGCACCTCCTGCACGGTCTGTGACGCCAGTGCCAGGGCGGAATTAAGATGCCGGACATGCTTGCGGAAAATCCGAGCGACCGCCGATTCGTCCGTCCACAGCTTGCGTAGGCTAGGTGGAGGAGCTGGCAGAGGTGCGAGCCGGACCTTGCCGGCCGCACAGCAGAGGCTGGGTCGCTCGGCTGGCCACAGCAGCGCTCCACAGTGCTGGCAGCCGCGGTCTCTGTCGCCGACGGTGCTGAGCGGCACGGCCTGCTCTCCAGAGAGGACGGCGGCGGCGTGGCGCGCCTCGCGAGACGGCGACTGGTCACGACGCTCCCGGCGACGGCGGTCTGCCCGGTCTCGATCTCGCCCGAGGTTCGCCTCGTCCAGCTGGCGCTGCTGCTGCCGCTGGCGCTCCCGCTCGCGGTTCGCCTCGTCCAGCTGGCGCTGCTGGTGCCGCTGGCGCTCCCGCTCGCGATAGTCGTCGTCTTCACGCAGCCGACGGAGGCGCTCTGCGTCGGCTGCACGTTGCTCCTCGTCGGCTTCCCGCTGCGCTCTGCGTCACTCCAGCTCGGCCTGGCGCTGTTCTTCGGCACGTGTCGCCCTGAGCCGTCGCATGCGCTCGGCGGCCCGCCGCCGGTCGGCCGCCGTTGGCGGACCTGCCCTCGGCATAGCGCGTTGCTCCTCGTCGGCTTGCCGCTGCGCTCTGCGTCGCTCCAGCTCGGGAAGCGTCGCAACATTAAATCCGAACCTGTAGGACGTTCCATGGTGGCATCGCCCCTCGTTCCAGCGAAGCAGCAGGCTTTTGCTTTTTAGGCTGGAAAGGGCGTCTGTCTCCGGCGGGCGGTATGACGCCGCCGTACGGGCTTCGTAGGCCGGGCGGCTGGGCGGGGCCTGTGCAGCCTGCCTTAAAAGTACCGCGCAAAGTAACTGTGGATCCATCAAGCCTGACCGAGGTAGGGCCTGCTATAGTTTGAAAGTCACCAAACCAATTGACCTGGGGAATGGACGAGGCTTCCGTGACTCAAATTTAGCAGTCCTTCCTCGGTCAGGCTTGATGGATCCACCGTCACTTTGCGTGGTACTTTTGAGACAGACTGTACACCTTCGGCCGGATCGGCCTGATCGTGGTATTCGCTAGGGTAATGGTTGAGCAGTGTCCATAGCTGCCTCCTCTACGGCCGCCCGGATGTGCGGTAGTAAAGGCGGTGGAGGTAGACTCCGTCGGCGTCAGAGTCCTTCACCCCAGCCTCGGGAAATCCTGGGGCAGGGGGAGAGGGACCAGGCGTCGCCGAAGCCACCCTTCGGAACCCGAATCAACGTACCACCCAGAAGGCCGTGGTATGAGACGCGGCGGCGCCCGATGCCCGGCTCCGAGCTCTCGGCCTTCAGCAGCCGGTCGACATCTAGCAGGACGCAGCGGGGAACGAGGTCCGCCGCTACGCCTCGCAGGGAGTCTGAAAGACGCCGGAACACCGACAAGTCGGGTCTGACGACAACTGGGCCCGCGGGACCCCCGTCATGAGAATGACAGTGGCCTCCGAGGTGCCCAACATCAGCAGGCACGTGATCAGCCATTTGATGTTCTGGGCCACCGACGCAGCCATGGCGGGGGCGTCGGGTAGGGCACTATGTGGTGTCGCCCGGGGGGTGAGAGCGTTCCCCCTAGCGACACCACGATTACGTCTGGGGCGGGAACCACAGGCGTGGGGGAGGGGCCCAGCTGCCCTCGGAGGAAAGCTGACAGGATCTTTCGGCAGTCCTCGGCGGCAGCCCCACCCGTCGCGTCCCCGGAGGTCACATGCATGGCCTCCACCACGGCCCCTGTGGTGGAGGTGGCCGGCAGGCACTGGGCAGCACGCCTGGCGTGGCTCTCGCCCAAGCAGACAATCTGTGTCTACTGGCCCTCCGGCGCGCCCAAGCTCGCTGCTGCGCCGCGTACATCTACATTTTCTTCAGGTTAATAATTGTTTTCTTTATTTTCGGGCTATACTGATGGAAAATAATTTCCTAGAAAAATGAAATCACGGGAACCCAGTGAACGAGGAATATCGATAAAGCCGAAATAGGTTTTTAATCTTTTTTTCTAATCTTTAATCTTTTTCCTCAGTGTAGCCCGAAAATATAGAAAGCTGAATTTGTGCAATACCAAAACAGTTGTAATGAGCCTCATGGCCTTGATCATTCTCCTCAAAAGCAGTCCATATCATACTTACACACTCATTCCCTTCTCCACTGCGCGTCGCCGTGTTGAATATAGCGCTTGGGGCAAGCTTTCCCGATTCTCGTTTTTCACGTGAAATGGCGCGGGAGTTCAGGTGAAATTCCGCATGTAATCCGCAAAGAACGCCTTGATTGCCGATTCCACGTGAAAATTCAGCCGAAATCTATCCAAGAATTATAAGTATCTTAACCTCTCGGGGCGGCTGGGTTTGCGTCTCGCGATGCAGCTCTGGCTGTCCAAGACACCCGCCTGGCGCCACATCCGCTCGTTGCTTGGTGCCATGTCGGAGACCGCAGCAATGACACGCAGACCGGTGGCCTCGAGGTCGTCAACGACGTCGTTGATGGAGGTCATGTTCATCGGCGCACTCATGCCGTAGCAGCACGGCTGCCTCCACGACGCGCAAAGGCCCCGCACCATGAGAAGCTGGAGCTTCGTGGCTGACATGGCACGGTTTGTCATCTGGTCGTAGCACTATCCTCCGTTCAGCGACATTTCGTCGAAGCACAGGACGCTGAGCCGTTCCATGCCGCTCATGCGCTGTACAGCAGCAAGCAGCCAGGACAGTCTTGCTCCTTTGGAGATCCATTAAGTAAGATATAAGCCGCGGGCTGACAGGGTACTGCATGACGGCAGAGGGAAGTGCATGACTGGCTGGACGAAGGCGTATGCCTCGTGACTGATGCATCGTAGTCCAACAGCCACGCCAATCTCGTCGGCAGACCAGCGGTGGCGCTTCTCAGTTGCCAGACGCCGCACCTGCTGACTGCTCAGCGTCCCCGACTCCTGCAGTCTTGTTATAGCGGAAGCCTTCTGGTCCGGGCTCCGGATCCTGGCTCAGAACACATCTTTCTCCTGCTCCACCGCAGTCTCCGAGACTGGAATTGAAGTGCACCAAAACGCATCTTGAGGACACCAAAAGCGTTCTACGCCACCACTCGAGTGCGCGCGTGAGCCGAGTTGTAGGCTCAGTCTTCTGCGGTATTGGGGTCCGCGATAGACCTGTCATGAGCCAGGGTGCAAGGCCGTAGTCACTGTCCCCCAGCATCATGCCGCCAATTAGGGGATTTCCATCGCGAAAATACTCAGGCATCCCCGATGTAGCCAGTACTCGAGCGTCGTGCACCCGACCGCCACAATGTACGCTCAAAGTGATGATTGAACGGTCGGATGCAGCGACGGGCATTACGTTCAGGGACGTGAAGCCTTTACGGTCTATGTATGCCTATTGCTGCTCCTTGGGGACGGTTAAGCGGATTTGGGTCCCGTCAATTCACCCCATGATGTGGGGTGGAAATCGTTTTACACATGGTCCTTTCGCAAGACCGCTGGAGGAGTCGACGGCTATTTGCGCTTGGGACGTATATGAAGTATTTTGCAGAGTCAAACAATATTTTCAGGTTAAACACAAACATGTCACAAGTAAAGTTTATTCATAGGCCAGCCTCGAGCGTCTGCTGCGCCGCAGCGACTTACGCACCTCCGACAGGTACTGGTGCATCGCCGGGTCGTCCGCCTGCCGACAGAGTCTTGGTCAGAACAGCCGCCAGCAGAAACAAATCGGGACCGGAGCAAAGGTGGAGGGGACCATGCAGAGAGGGCGATTGAAAACGACTGTTAAATCAATTCGTCAAAAAATGTCTGTCTTCATTAGTGATGTCATTTTCCAAAAAATGTCTGACCGATACCGACCGAAACCAAAATTTG